AAGGGACATTTAGATGCATTTACACACTGTTTAATGCAGGACATGTATGTATTTAACCTGCAGTAACAAATGCATTAATACTGTTTTGATGTTTTAAACATAAACCGTTGAATACTGATATTTGAAATTATAAAAAAAAATTAAAAAAATTAAAAAAGATACTTTAAATGTGAAATTAAAACTGCCAGTAGATGGTAGCAAGTCACTGTTAATAAGTGAGTCATTGCAATAAAAAACAGTCAATATTGTGTCTAAAACGTAAGTATCTTAATATTAAATTATTGTTTATTGAACTGCTGTATAAAATCAATATCACATTTGTAACCATGCTGCTTTTTGGTGGAAAAAGTCAGTCAGAGTGATACTGATTAACTATATGAAATTATATAAATATATACATTTCTGCCCCCATATCTTGAATTTTTTGATCATTCTAAATGCATTTTAATAAACCGAATCATGCAGTGAAAGAACGTGCACTGGTCTAACCTACCAGACTTCCTATTGCCTTAGCTAAACTTTAGCTAAATTACATGGTAGCTCTCATTTTGTCTTTTGGGTAATTAGCTGTAAATTCGAGGCACAGGTAGCTTAGTCTTTTGTTCATCACCACTCACCTCCACACCAAGACAACTGTAAAAGGAGGGAGGGCTTCACTTCTGCGGCTCTCTGCCTGTCTGTGATGTGAATGTGCTGATCAATGTGTGCTACACTGGCGTGCTGCGCGGAGACGCGGATGGGAGAAAGGCATCGGAACTCGACAGAGTCTCAACATTTCCCGACCCGACCTGATATTTTGATTTTTTATTAGTTTGACAGGGAAAGCTGTGCGCAAACAGAAACACACACACCAGCGCACATATATTAATTTATTAAAAAATAAAATAAAAAAAACACTCCCCAGAAAAAAGGGCACTTTCTCTCAAGGAAGAAAAAGGGCAGGTGCTCAAGCCCCCTTTGATGTCTATGGCTGTTTCTCAATATGCGTTCTTGTCTGTACTTGTGTTCTTGTGGACTTGTGAAACGTCATCAGTCGTCGCACAAGTACAGGGTTGCCAGGTTTTCACAGCAAAACCCGCCAAATTGCTACTCAAAACTAGCCCAATCGCATTTCGAGGGGGATCCCCCTGTAAAAATGCATTCTGGTGGGGTAAAATACACGTTTTTGGTGGGGTTCCCCTGGTAAAATTCGCATTTAAGGGGCTAAATATCACGTTATGGGGGTCGCTTAAACCCATGGACATGAAAAACAACCCACGGCAACAGTGTTAAAGTAGCCCAATTCCATGGGAAAACTGCGGACTTGGCAACACTGCACAAGCACTGTTCCAATTCAAAGTTCACATCTAGCCAAGTACAGTTCAAATCCCCGGATGTGTTCTTGCTCCGCCCCTTACTTATGTAAGATGCATCCAGAGGTGACTTGTGCGAACTTGAGGCAGCCAGGTATCCCAGAATGCATTTCGCACCAACCAGCGCCAGCGTTAATGGCGGAGGAGAAAACCCGCATAATTTTCAAAATATTACTATTATTGGGTCATGAAATGCAGTTCTAAGAGTATTTCAGGCAAGAATGTAGTTGTTTAAAACTCAAATATGCAGTTTATTTATAACGATAGCGCCTATTTGAAAATGTGCTTCGCTGATTTCGGAGACGTGAGCTCCACGCGATCACTGGGCACTCAGTGCTCATGTATCCCGACGAGAGGAGCTTAACCTCGGCTAGTCCTTCTGATATTTGCTGCTGGCTCCGATGTCTCTGGTAGTGGTTAAACATGAGGTACAATTCGTTTTGGGTAAATCTAACAGACAAACTTTGGTCTCATGAATCTATTATTTCTTCCAGGTCATATCGTTTTGGCTGAGCACAAAGTTATGTTTCATAAATTATTTATTTATAAATCGTAATACAACGCTGACTTTGTTGCATACATTTGACCGAATTGTTTGCTTTTGTCTTTATTTCCTATTACATAAGTCTCTTATATTTTATACTTATTCTTTTATAATGGCTATTATTGTTCATTAAAACTGACATTTAACAAAAAAGGCAGAGTTGTGCTTGTCATATTTCATTTTATTATAGGCTATACAGTGAAGATAATCATAGTATATGTGCACATATTACCTAAACCACATATTAATGTTTCATATTTTTTAAAATGAAAACGAAATGAGGGTTGTGTTTTATATTTTGAAGAAAACGACAAGGCAGTGGTGTTTGATATAATTTCGTTTTATTGTAATGCGTGTACGGTCAGTATCAGAATCAGCCCATTTGCTGGCAATCGGAATCGGCCATGAAAAATCACGACTGGTGCATCCCTAGTTGTTGTTGTAGACAGCCTACTGGTTAGTTTCAGAGTTTCCAAGTCTGCATATTATATGTGACTTTGGGCTTCTTTTTTCGTAAAGTTGTGTGAAAAAAATCCCGGGTCGCGGTTTTGTTGGCTTATTTGAAAAAATATGGCTGCTTGTTAGGGAAATCTGACAAGCAACTTTGTTTCTTTACGTATGTTGGCCGTATTCTCCAATGCATTGATTGACACTCTATCTGCTCACAGTTAATAGCCAACCAGTGCAATAATATAAGTGCTGCAGAGTAATTTGCCAAATGTTCTGCCCTAAAAATGCCAGGGCTGATTTATTTATTTTTGTCCCAGTCCAGCCCTGGCTTCTTGTGATGTCACTTGCAATCAACACAAATCATGCATGTTGCCAGTGGAGACTGATACTGACACTGATACTGAATTTGGTTTTTATCATCTTAGTCCGTTATGCCACAATCTTTAGCGGTATGTGAGGAAAACAGTTAATGTGAAACTTTTGTGTGTTCTGTGCATATTCTGTCATCTGCTTACCTTAGTGCATTTTATTAAGCTGTATATTGAATTTGGTCTTTTAATATCCCTGTCTTAATTTATTAAGCCATATTAAGTGTTAATGTTTTTCTACGGGTAGAAAATTCTTAACGAGGGGCTTTGGGTTTCATTCAAATTCTGCTGTGAAGTGGATGAGTGAAGTTTATATGGACAGACCCTCAACCCCTCGATTTTGACTGAACGAGCAAGTCTACTTCATATGTAGACTTCAGACTTCTCCATACACCACAATGCAACATGATTGTGACGTCACTGCAGATTTACCCCCACTCCAAACAACTCTATGATATATTATTTTTTTTAGATATTTAAAACAACCTAAGCATACTTATATGCATATAGAATGCTGAATCAAACAAATTCATAAGGGAAAAAATTTAAATAATCAGTCGACTAGAACGCAGAGTGCATATGTAAGTCTGCAGCCAGACACTATTGGGACTGTAACTGTAATGGCAATAAAAGTAACCACACTTAGCAAATAATGAAATAATGAAAAATCACACGTACAGGGAAGTGAAGAGGTTTGCTTTTGTCATGTAAATATCATAATGCAATTAAGTCCTTATTCTGATTAGTGGAAATTTAGTCACTGATAACGGTATCAACTGACTGAACAAAACCTGACAAAATCTGACAAGCCGATGTTAAAATAGACCTGTGCATTAAGTGTTGTATTGCAAGTGCAGAGTAACAAACCTACAACAGCAACAAGACTGTGTTGACTCAATACAATTAGTAGCTTTTACATTTAAAGATAAAAAAAATCTGTTAAAGGTATTTAATACATTCTTATTTAATTATTATAGCACTAATAATTAACTTTAATTAATTTGTAGTTAACTAGTTAAAAATGCTTAAAAACAACTGGCTGTTGGGGTCTGGGCTTGTTTATTTTTTATTTATTATTTTTTTTAAATGACATGAGACTTTGTGACTTTCTGACCTTCCTATACTTCATACTTATGTACAATAGAAATACAAAAATTAGTTATAATAGTCATTTTATAATAAGCCTTAAAGCAAGATGTGAAAAGACCTAGGGAGTGGAAATGGCAGCTCAGCTAATGAGTTGTCATCTGCTGCCATCTACTGGTTATAATGGTAATTTCATGCCATTTTTATTTTTTACAAGTGTTTGTTTTCCACGAGGAGACAGAAATGGTCCACTACAGAATATCATCAATACTTTTTCATGTTTTCCCAGAAGAAAAGACAAGTCAAATTTAAAAGCATATATTAAAGATAAACTGATAATGTTTACCATTACATTGGCATATTAATCTAGTGCAGATAGACTAAAAGTGCCAAAACTCAAATTCTGTTTTCACTGGGTCTTCAAAGCAAATTTATTTTGTAATTATTGTCATCACTACTACAAAAGTTTCTGGGCATTTAAAGTCCTTCTTCTTGATTTTCAAGTATCTAAATATCTTTCTCTCTTGATTTTCACATACTGTACGTGAATGATATTTTTAAAATCTGTAAGAAGTTTTAAAATACTTTAAAATACCTTCATCTTGACATGTTGGTGTTTTTCCCCATGTTCCATTGTGACAGGAAACCGTTCTTTCTCCACTTATAAAGTATGAGCTTCGACATATGTATGTTAAGCTAGATCCATCAGGATAAAATTTTTCAGGTTTAGATGTTATGACTGTATTTTCCACATTTGGAGGAATGCCACAACGCACATCCTCTGAAAAAAAAATTATGTATTGAAATTCATGAACTCCAATAAGACTGATTTTAATATTGTTGAGAGATTATATTGTCCAGCCCACTGTATGCACATCTGCTCCTATTACAAACATGTAATACGAGTTTGAGAGACTCACCTTTACACACTGGTGTCTCCCATCTACCATTGGTGCATTTTATGAAGGGTTCAGTTGATATGAACCCTGGATCACATTCCACTTCAGCAGTTTCTCGATCACGATGGATTAGTTTTCCATGGTGAACACTGGGAAGAGCACCACAATCTTCCTTCCCTGTAAAGACCAACGACAGAAGCACTTTTCAGTACACTATCATTCATCAAACACCTGAGACTGACAATAATAAAACTCACGGATGCAGCGAGGCTCGTCAGACCAAGATCCTTTGCTGCATGTCACTGAATCCCACCAGTTTCCAGTGAATGGTTTATAACCCGTGTTGCAGGAGTAAAAGATTTCTTCCTTGTTGGAGGATTGGCTGTGTGTGAAGCCATTTTCCACTGATAGATCAGGGCAGGACTTTGCTGCGAGAAACACTGTTTCAAAATATTTATTGTTTTTGAGTGATTATTGTACAGATATATGATGAATTGACTGAATAATAAGTCAAGTTGTATCACAACATTCAACGGAATTAAAGACAAAATTCAATAAACTGTAACATACCGCATTGCCGACCTGTCAAGCCTGTCCACTGGCCCTGGTAATCACAGATGATTTCAAAAGGCTCCTCTGGTTCAAATCCACGATGACATTTATATTCTATTCTTGAATCGATTCTGTATTTTTGTTGATGACCTCGAAAAATATCTGCATTTGGAATGTTAGGTGCTGCACACATTTCTGTAAAACATCCATCATACTAATTACAACTCATCAGATACATAATAATTGGATTGGATACTGCAAAAATTCTTGTTTCATGACATTCAATGGAATTAGAGGCAACATGTAAATAAACTGTCCCATACCACCAAATCAGCATAATCATATAATTTATATTATGGAAGTAGCAAAGATTTTAATACTCCACAGCAGAACATACCAGCACACAGTGGTTTTGGTGTCCATCCGTCTCGTGTACATGTGGCCTCTTCTGCTGTTTTACGATATCCAGTTTCACAACTGTACGATTTTATTGCTCCCAGTTTCTTATCTCCACTGAAGGAATAGGATGGGTAATACACATGCTGGTCATGTGGAGTTTCACATGTAATTTAAAAGAAAAGAAAAAAAAACTTCTCGACAAGACAAATTAAACATCCTCAGTATTTTGAAATAATGATTTGAATTTATAATCAATGTAGTAAGTAGTTATGAAAAAAAGTAAGTAGTAAGTAAAAACAAACAAACAAACATTAAAATCTAAAAAACAACATATGGGACTGCATTCATCAAGCTCCACCTTGAAGTTAAAATAAATGTCAAACTAATATCAAACTATTTTTAAATGTATAGTCACATTTAGCCATATTCAACTGATTTTTTTGTTTTTGAATTTTCAAATTTTAATGTAAAGTTAATGGCTGTCTATTTTTAGAATGTTTCAGTTTATGTGTGACCCTACCATGTTTTTTGCATTATGAAAGTATTTGAGTATTATTTCCCATATTAATTGTTTATGATGTAACACAGTGGTGAATTACCATCACATTCTGGGTTCAGAGTCCAGCCAAATTTAGCACATTTGGGGATTCCCTCTCTGGGTTTGAATCCTTCATTGCATTTGTATTTTAATGTGGCATCTTTCTGGTATTCTGGCCGTGGCTCAACAACATATCCATTTGGTATGACAGGTGCTGCGCATGTTATAACTGTATGAAAAGTAAGAGAAACAAGAATAATTAATGTGGAGATATCTGTGATATTTGGGTGAAGATACATATAAATAAAAAAATATAGAAAAATGGAAATGAACCTTTGCACTTTGGAACAGCATCACTCCATGTTCCCGTCTCTTTGCAGTGAATGTCACTACTTCCGTCTATCATTTTGTCAGAAGATACACAATCAAAGTGAATAACATCACCATAACGTCCCTCCTCTGTGTTACCCGATGCAGTCACCTCCCAATCTGTGCGAATGGCTGGACATTTCACCACTGAATATGAAAATAAATAAAAAAGTAAAGAAACCAACAAACCAACCCCTCAATAAAAAAAAAAAATCAATAAATATTTTTAGTTATAATTCTCTTCTAGCTTATGAGTCACTATTCTATGATGGAGAGATATTAAACTAGAAAAAAAAAAAAAGGAAAAACCGTGACTTTCAAGAAATCGTACCCTCACAGACAGGGACAGCGTTGTCCCATCCTTGAGCTCTGCAGGTACGCTGATTGATTCTGCTTGTCATTTCATACCTGTGAACACAATGTTTTTACAAGTACAAGGATTATCAAACTCAAGAGGAAAGTATACATTTCATGCAATAAAAAAGAGAATAAATAAGCATAAAGCACATTTACCCTTTTTTGCATGTATACACCACTGTTGCTCCAAAAACAAACTCCGTCCCCTCTTTAAGTTTAAAATCACCATTTGGTGTGTCGCCTGGATTACTACATTTTTTCTCTGCAGAAATCAAACAAGTTTTACTTTACATGGTAACATTGATTTAATAACTATGTGGCCATCGTATTGACAATTCTCTTACTTGCACATGGTCGCTCAATGGATTTTTTCCATTCTCCTTTTTCACACTTTAATCTATACAAGCCAATATAACCTGTTATGCAGTTCACTTTCACTGTTTCACCATCAGCGTATGAAGCTTTCTCAACTGGTTCTGTGTTTTCATATTTAATGTCCTCTCGAAGACATTCTGAGAAGCACAAACAAATGTTACACAAAGACATAACTGTTAAATGCTGAAGTACATGCACAACTAGTCAACACGCTCTAAAGCTACATAAATGTACAGTTAAATGTTTTAGGAACTGCATATAATATAATATTTATTTTGAAGTCAGTAAAATCTAAATGAAAAAGACATTAAAATAAATAGCAACAACAACAAAATCACTTGCCTTGACATCGGGCACAATTTAAGAAAAACAACCAAAAGCCGAAGCCGAGGAGTTTTACAGGAACTCTCATTTTGAGCTCAGTTCACAAATACTTTTTTTTTTGGTCAGTCTCTAAAACTCTTGCCTGCTTGGGGATCAACAAGTTAATAATTTACCCATGTCAAAAGGACGTCTTTCTTACACCAGACCTCTCTTAGCACAAGCAATATAAAAAAATAAAATAAAAAAAAAATCATTTTCTGATGCAGCAATTCATATTTGTTATTTGCTCACACCAAAAAGTTACCTTAGAGAAGTCAAACTTCTTGAGTCAAATGTCTGTAATGTATAAACTGGAAGCAAAGGGCAGATTCCAAAATAACTGCCATATTTACTGCTCAATCCTGTTGCTTTTAACTGGTTCATTAATTTTATATATTGATTCAAGAAGAACATTATGTGATGAATGAATTTGTTTCATTAGAAATGAGATGAAAGAAGATTCACAACACTTTCAAGTCTCCAAACATTGCAATAATACAAGCATTGCAAAATATACGTAGCCATTGCATTGCGAAATGTGTTCATTAAAATTGAGCAATCTGTTTAACTGATAAACAAAAGACAGAAGACAGAAGATGAGTTTGACACCTATTTGTCTTTGCTTAAATTGTTGTTGTCTCCTAGATGACCTGCTGATCCTCCTTATCTCACAATGAAAACTGTTGTTGTTTTTAACCTTAAAAGTCAGATGTCATTTACTGGATCTTACAGTGTGGACTTGGTAAACAATGACATGTTAAACTCAAAGGTCTTTAACTTTGTTTGCAAATGGTTGGCATGTGCTAACAGAGTCTTGGCACAAGCAATGAATATGTTTGAAATGGGGCCTCTTTTTAAAAATACTATATATGCAGTTTATGTTGTTAAACATAAATACATATTAAAAAAGGCTGCCGCACACCTTTACATAAATGTCAAAACTAAACATAAATGTGATACTAAATATCATATGAGCTGTTTTATTTGATACATGTCTAAATAATAAAATATAATGACTAGATTTGATTAGATTATTGTACAGCAATTAGTAATACATAAACATCAAAATTAAATAGACAAAATTCATAAGATTAAATATATATATATATATATATTTTTTTTTTAGGAAATATTGTTTGATTATTTATTTCTCAAAATAACTTTAGTAACAAAGTGGAAGGTTGGGTTTACAGAATGCAGTCAGCACTAATGAGATACTTTGTCTTGTTCCTGTCATGCTGAAGAAAGGGCCCCAAATAATGTCAGAATTTTCACAAATTTGTTTTCCTCAAAATAAAAGGTCACTGAAAGAATATCTACTATAATTTAATAAAATATTTGTTTCTTGCAAAATGACTACCAGCTTTGTAAGAACCAATGGCGTGGTAACATCATTCCTTGATCAACTGCACCACTAAGTGGCCCTTGTGTGAAGTTTGAATTTCTTATTGTATATAAACTTGTTAGACTTGTATTAGACAGTACATTAAATTATAGTTTTTCATATAGTTTTTATAGTTACTATAACTGATTCAAACCATTCATTCTAGACAAAATTCTACACAAAAATAGAGCAGAACGACTGTCTAGAGGTGAAAGTCTTTTGTCAGAAGACTGAGAAAATGTTATATTACGGCAAATAAGGTCATTAACAAAACTGCAAAGCAAGTTGGCAGAGGATGCTGATTTTTTAATTTTTTTGTTTATTTTTACTCTACAGTAATTGACAGTATACTGAATTGTGTGTTCATATTCAATTCTTTGGTATTTGAACTTTTCTAGTGCTTTTCATATTTAAGTTAAGAAATATGTTGTCAGAACAACAACAACAACAAAAAGATGAGATAATACAAAATTGCATAACTACCACAAAAATGTAGCTGAATGAATAGGATGTTCCCACAAACAATACAATATATGTACATGGTTGTGTGTGTGTTAATATTATTCATCAATACATGCAACAACACACAGACATACATTTCATAGTCAATAAGTTTGATGGTAATACTTTATAATAACTTTCATTAATAAATCATTAACAAACATTATATAATGTTTAACGGATCATTAGTTAATATTTATTCACATATCTAGAAACGTGAAATAATGTGCTTGTTAATGTTTACTAATAAATGTATTAAACATTACCTAAAAATGCTTACAAATGTTATTCAACTTTTAATCACGATTCAATCTGTTTATATTGCATTGTTTTGATAAATGATAAATTAAGTATTTTCTTGAAAAGAAAATGTAAATGTAAATGTTTTTTACAAAAACATTGGTAAAATATCTATTTAGGAGTTTTAGACCTTTCCAACAATATATAGTTTGTCATGATTAGATTAGGATTTAATTGTAATATAGTGAAGTAAACTTAGTACCCTCAGTTAAAGGGTTTTAATGAATAAAAAATTAGTAATTAAACTATATTTTTACGACATTTGAAAATGTAATAATGAGCATTAGCTAATATGTGAACTGAAGTTTAATGACACTTGTAAGCATTCAACAGTACATTAACAAATGTTTGTTCAAACTTTGTTCATTGTGTAATTTCTGGTAAAATCTTTTGTAGATTTTTAAAACGCATTGAAAGTTTAATGACATTTGTAAACATTAACTAATGATCAGTTAAGCATTATATAATGCTTGTTAATGATTTATTAATGAAGCTTTTAATCATTGTAAACCATGTCAAAATAATGTGAAATGTTTTTTTTTTAAATGCACGATCATATGAATTGAATGTTTAATGACATTGTAAGCTTTTCAATTTACATTAATTCTGTTATTAATGTATATTAATGTTATTAATGTATAATTCTGATCTGTTAATCATTTGGTAATGTTTAATAAGTTCATTAGTTAACATTAACAAGGACATTATCTCATATTTCTAGATTTGTGAATATGTATTAAGTAATGATTAGTTAAACATTATATAATGTTTGTTAATGATTTATTAATGAAAGTTATTATAAAGTGTTACCAGTTAGATAATTTTTTTTTTGCTTAAACATTCTTGAACAGTTATTGTTAAAATATAATTTTACCTCAGTTACAACAATTATTATGTATGTGCACTTAAAAAATCTGAAAAAGAGAAACAATTGTACTCCGTTTGACAAGACTTTTTAAAAATTTTTTTTACAAAATTAAAATGTAGTGCAAACAACATCTGGAATTAAGTACTAGAACATTCCCAAGTCATTGTTTAGTCATTATTTATTTTGTGTATCATCTAAAGAAACAACCAATTAAATAATAAATCAATAATTGTACAGATCACCAATATGACTAATTCAGGTTCTGAAAACGAGACAATACTCACAACTTTTGTCAATCTGTAGATTCCCTTTGGAGCACGACACGTCCACATATTTCATCTCACTTCCAGTATTCTATCCATCTCTACAGTTAAGTCTATACTAGAGGAGTCAAACTCAGTTCCTGGAGAGCTGGAGCCCTGCACAGTTTAGATTCAACCCTAATTAAACGCACCTGATCCAGCTAATCAAGTCCTTCAGGCTTATTTGAAAACTACAGGTATGTGTGTTGGAGAAGGGTTCTCTGTTGAAAAAAAGCCCAAACAAAAAACAGCATTTGCTGGTTAGGTATGTTTTGAAGCATGGCTGCTGGTTTGAGTTGGTTTAAGCTGGTCATGAGCTGTGTAGCAACGATTTTAATACTCCACAGAAGAACATACCAGTACACAGTGGTTTTGGTGTCCATCCGTCTCGTGTACATGTGGCCTCTTCTGCTGTTTCACGATATCCAGACTCACAACTGTACGATCTCTTTGCTCCTAATTTCATATCTCCACTGAAGGAATATTCCGGGCCACTCACATGCTGGTCACGTGGAACTTCACATGTAATCTCTGAAATACGATTCACATTCTTTTGGTAATATACAATGACTTCAGCACCAAGTCTTGAAGTGTTTCTTTAATCTTACCACAAACAGGTTTACTGTCCCACTTTCCATTAATTTGGCATGTAAATTATTTTATTTTTTTTATTTTTTTGTAAAAAATTGTTTTTCAGAGCAGATGATCTCCACGCTTTCTCCAACTTTGAAAACAGTTTTCCCCTCTAGGTTAATCCTTTTTACTCCAAATATGGTTGACTCAAACTGACAAGTTACTTCTGTACAAGTAAAGGCCTGTTCACACCAACACAAATGTTTGTCATGAAAATTCTGTCCGATTATCTCATACGATTTGAGTTCAGAGTACCCTGGTACACAACTTTCTGTTTCTGACACTCGCCTGTCATGGAGAAGGGAACGAGAAGTCAAACTATACATAACGGAGGTATTTTTTTTTCTTTAAGGGACTTTTATTTCGATGGGTTGCCCTGTTTTCGGTATTCGCGGGAGATGCAAAGATGTATGGGAAGAAGAATGGAGAACAGTCAAAGCCACTAGAAGGCAAGCCTGCAACCTTTAGCCAAAAAAGCGTAACGGTTAATGCTAATACTTCCGCTTTGGCAGTACATGGGAAAGGAGACCAGAGGCCATTTTTTTGAATGGATGTCAATGGAGGAGAGGCTTCACTACTCTGAATAAACAGCTCTTTAGAGGAAACAGCTTATCATTTAATGAATCAACAGCCTATCTGCAAATCTCCAACATGTTTTGCAGTAAACAATACTTTTGGACTGAACTATTTTAGTTTACAATGAAGAAAAAAGGCCGTTTTATAAGAAAAGTTACTGAATTTTTGCGACAGCTGGGATGGAATCCGTAAACGGTGATTGAGTGTCGCACACTCTGACTGAAATTCAGTGACGTCAAGGCTGTAATGTGATTGGTTATTGAGGCACATGTGATCCAAGTTGACCGTTACACTTTCTTCAATAGTAAATAATACGTGAATATATCCCCTATCGTATTCTACAACAAAAACAGAGCGCCTTGTTATCACTAGTTCTATTTTTGACTTCCCGAGTCCGCTATTAAGGGACTTTTATTTCGATGGGTTGCCCTGTTTTCGGTATTCGCGGGAGATGCAAAGATGTATGGGAAGAAGAATGGAGAACAGTCAAAGCCACTAGAAGGCAAGCCTGCAACCTTTAGCCA